GAGAATATATTCTTTGGAGGATTCTCTTGTCGACTTTGTACTGTACAGGTAAGTGATTATTGGTGTTTTATATAAAAAAGTGAAGGAGAATGTGGGCATGTACATATTCATTCTGAAATGTGAACATTTTAAATTCAACCGAAATGAATTCATTTACTTGGAAGTAATGGATTTGTAATGTGAAATAGGTTATGATTAAATGATGTACTTAAAATTTTCTGTTTTAATTTTCAAGCAATATAAAAAAATGATTTAGAATAGAGAAACCTTTCCTGTATGGCCTGTTAAACTTTCCATCATGAGAAACACAGGGACCACTGCAGTGCATTATTTACAGGCCCCATTGGCCTTTTTATTGAAATTTAAGGGTGCTTTGATTGCATCAACACATCTGATGTGGTAACAGTAATTTAGTGATGCCCTAATGTTGCTTCATCAGTCCTGTAAATTATCCATTAAAACAGATGTCACCAGGAGACATGCTGACATGTTGAAGCTCCAAAACACTTGATTGTCCTCAGAAGTAATTCAGAGTTTATTGACTCGGTGAATTGTAATGTAATTTCCCGTCTGCAGATGAACCGGTTAATTAAGTTTAAATACTGTGTGTTTACACACTGAGGGATGCATGGAACTGTTCTATATTGAGATATATCTTTATCCAAGTGTCTGGTTTAATCAAAATGTCAGATTCCTAAAAGGACTATGCTGATCAACTTAGAAGGTACAGTAAGCTACCATTTTCCTTATTTTGAGAATTATGATATAAGGTGTGCTAAATGCCACCTGTAAGATATTGATACTGTTTTTCTCTGTGTTCTGTGTGTGTGTTAGCTACTCTTTTGTCTGGTAATGAGTTCCTGTGGAAAACACTGTTTAGATTTATTGCTTTTGTTCGTAAATGTTAAAATATTCTTGATATCAAGGACACACAGAATATCCATCTGCTCCATTTATTGAACTTGTTGCAGTTTCCTGAGGGGCAGACTTGGGTAGTCAATGTCTGTAAATTGTAGGGAACGCCACATCTGTGTGTACTCTTTATCAGCTCCTTCAAGTCATGTGCATGTTGTACTGGGTTGTTCAACTTTAACATTAAGGTGACAGTCCAAGTTTTTTTTATTGATTTACTATTGCTCAACTAGAATTGTAGCCTTATAACTGAACAGATAAAGTGCTTAGAGTTCTGATTTTAAAACACATTCATTCTCAGTCGTTTAAATAAACAAAAAATAAAATTTCAAAATATGTTGAAGTATACACATACTTTAGTTGGGCTCAATTTTTTAGTTTTTTGAAAAAAAGATACCATTTCATGGATATTTATTTTTACAGACGATAGCTCTGTGAATCAACTTATACTTAATTCAGCTGTTGATGAACTTATGAATTAGTGTATATTGAGATTACTCACTTAATCACTGAAAATAGATCCCCCATAAAAATGAATTATTTTCAGTATCCAATTACTGCTATTGAACAAGTAAAAAGTTAACGCTATCAAGCATTTATTAGGCAAGCTTTGTCTAGGTAATCAAATTAAAAAAAAATTAGTTTAGTGATGCATGCTAATATGTCTGTAAAAATTAAATATAACACAATTCCTAACCTTACATAAACATTATTTGATACATGTGTCGATCATTCTTCATAGAATCAAAATAAGGTGAACTTCAGATAGGCTATGTTGCTTTCAGCTGTAAATATGTTTGCTCCTGTCTGTTGAAATCTTCTATAGTTTTTGCAACACACTGGGGGCATTAATGGCCAGAAACTTTAGCGATTGCATAGTCGTTAAGTATATGTAGATCTTTTTAGGGTCTTGGTGTTTGGTACTCTGATCAGTTAATAAAGAATAATCATAAGAGACTAAAGGACAAAGCTCTCAGAAGATCTGCAAGCTAATGTTATGTCACACTAGTGGGAGTTCAAAAGGCAATTTGTACCTGTGAAGTTTTTAGTCTTCATAGGGAAACTTACTAGCTTCCTTATAAGGGGAGATAATTTCTTCTTATACCCTAAAACTGGACAGATTCTGTCAGACTACCTGTTTCATATTATGGAGAGATATTCTAGTCATACCTTATAACTGGACAAATTCTGTCAGTATTCCAGCCATATCCTGAAACTGGACAGATTCTGCCATAATATAGCTGTCTGAAGTTAGGCATATGTAGCTGTCCAGGGGACAATAACATTTCTGATGGATGTCAAAACACCAGCTCTCACAGAGATAATGCTTCTCCACTTCAACCTAGCTGATTCTTCCCTGGACATTTAGGGGGAAGGAAAGCCATCAATAACAGCAGAACCACTGTATAATTTGGTGGGAACAATTTACTGTTCACCTAAATAGTAATTCTGAATTAACATTCACATCTCTTTGTTACTTACAAAAAAAAACAGGTCTCCACAATGTGTGTTCTTTATCAATATTTCCCTTCTTTAAGTTACAAATTTTGTGATTCTTTTGAATCCCGTTTTCTAATTCCTTCTGTAATGATAAACAGATAGTTTAATTAGTAGTGGAAACACATACTTCCAGTAGCTGCTAAACAGATAAGAAAAGGTGTCTGGTGTCGAGATATGGATACAAACTTGCTGACTTCTGTTGTTGAAATACCATAGCTAACCCAATAAACTAAAAGGTTTCTAATGTGGAAATACCATAATTAATGTAAAAGGGCCTTGGAAAGACTTATTGATAAAAAATATTTAGTGTTTTAAGACTACTTTATTAAGATTTTGGTTGACATAGGAAGGGAGGGGAGGGGTGGGGGGGGGGCTGAGAAAACTTTGGTTGTTCTATATACAGTCTACACATATAATTCTCTGTGGTATATTTTGGTCACAGTATGAAATGTGTTCTAATTAAAGCCTTCAGGATATTCCACAGATCTTACAGTTACTGAAGTCAGTAGTGATAACAATTCATAACAATGGGCATTGTCAGTATATCTTATCACTACTTTGACCGGGCCATTACCGCATTTAAATCAAAGCTGACCCCTGAGAATATGCAAGAGTGGAAACCTAGGTACTCACCTGGGACATGACACTACACACAAAACTTTCAGTATGCAGTCATTATTATTTAATCACATCTTTTTATTTACGATGGAAATACTTCACATGATGAAAATGTTAATGGATAAGAATAGGTGGTTTGGGAAATGACACCATTGTCTTTAATGAGATGTCCAAAGTCAGTGTCCGGTGCACTTTATTGAGGTGTTTGGCCTATGCTCATCTGTCCAGGTATGTGCGAGTCTTCCACCTGCTTTAGTGTAATGTTGGACTTATTGCTTTCCTGAATGACTGAAGTGATTTTATTACAGGACTATTTGTGATAATGCCATCAAAATCACCCGTACCTAATTTATATGATTAAACTTTAATGGATCGTATCAGATCCACACACCAAGTTATTGCTCAAATGATCCAAATTTATTGTGATGCACGGACAGGAGTTTCTCAGCATTTGCTGAGGAACATAGCGACACTCATGGTTCTTACATTGTCATCTGGAAATGAGATTTCCGCAAATTATGTTTTAGTAGAAAGATATTAAAAAGATCCTGGATAGTGTTATTGCAGTAATTTTCTCGGTTAGGATCAGGAGATAATAAGTACATAATTGATAGTGAATTGTCTTGTGAATATGTTAAAGGTCTTCAGCGTTTGGAATCTAAAACAGATGAATCATGGAAAAGTGAAATGATGGGGTCAAAATGACTGTCAAATATTAATTTCTTTTGAAAATCAGTGAAGATTAGTATCAAAGATTTAGCCTCATCAAAACAGTTAACATCTACAAGAGATCCTTTAAAAGATTTGCCATCAAAGTTCTTTTTTCAGGTATAAGATTGAGGTTACATGATTAATTAATATTGCCAGGTTATTCAGAATAGAAAAAATAATTGTAATCTATGATAGTAAGCTGAAATAAACATCATGACAGATATGTTAATCCTGTACTGATACAATTATCACCTAGTGCTATTGAATGTCATGTGACTTTCTCATAATGTCATGTTTTTGAATTTGTGAAAATTTCAATCATAGTGATAGACTACTGTACCGGTGATTTCAATTACATTTGCATTAAATTGTACAGATGTATGAACTTATCATGTACATATCTGAACAAGAGCTAAACAGAGGGGATTCAGTGGATGTGAAGAGGAATTGCTAAGCATTTAGATGTGATCATATTTTGATAAAAAATATTGGAGGGAAGAATCTGTTTCCTATCACTTGGAATTGGATGCCTAGGTTGTCATTGTTGGAAGCTACGAGAAAAAGTAGTGGGAGGGGTCGGCTAACCTGATTTTAGAATCTTGGGATTCCCAGAAATCCTAGGAAACTGGAGCAATTGATTTTCTGTGAATGGTGTGCTAGGCTGTAGTATTTACAAATGACTGGATGATGGAATGTGGGTTGTCTGTTGATGTTCCTTTGTTCTATGTTGGTAATGACTTAGAGAACCAGATATTTTGTGCGGTGTTCTTCACAAAGCTGTAGTTCTATTTCAGTGTGTTATAGCACTGTCATGGTTGTTTGCAATTAGGAACATTTCATTCTATTTGATGAGTATTTTTCAACAAAGTCAGATACTAAAATGCCTTTGAACATGTAAAGTTACATTGATGCCGTTAAAAATATATCTAATTATATCATAAACTATCAGGGTATGCTGGTATCTTAGTTAGCTAGTGTATGGAGGGAGAAGTTCCTAGCTTACCAGATATTATTCTTGACTACAGTGTTCTACTGCCAGGTTTTACTAGAATGGTATAAATTGCCAATTTAAACAATATTAATTTGATTGCATTAGAGGCGCATACTTTGTATGCTAGTCCTATCAGTTCAAGTAAAGAATTGCCAGTGTGTTTGAATTTTGACTTTATTTGACAATCTGTTATCCATCATATTCATGGTTGCTGGTCTTTAAGTTAGGATGATTGGTCTAACCTCCACTTCTCTTTGTGTCTCTCCAGGTTCTCCAGCGGGATATAGAGTCTCACTCCAGGAATGTCAATGCAGTGCTGAAGCTGAGTGAGCACCTACAGGATGAAGCTGCTGTTGATCGGGTGTTGGATCACAATCGTCTGTACCTCGAACGCAGCGCCAACACACTCCAGCAGCGCTGGCACTCTGCGTGGCTTCTCTCTATAGAGGCTCAATGTAGGCTGGAAAATGACTTGAAAACAAAAAAGGTTAGCACCCCTATTGACTCCATAACTATAGCTTCATTTGTTCTGTTGTCTCACATTCCAGCTCCAAGGTTTAGTTACAAAACCCAAGAATTCTGAAGATTTCAACAGGAAATACAAATAAAAAAGGAAGTTCCAAAATCAAGCTGATTAAAATGTCTATGTCGTTACCATTTTTTAAGTTTCAACCTATGGTCCGATCCTATTTGGATTTGCCCTGTGTCCAGTCCTGTCATTAATCAATGTGATCACTACAACAATTTCATTTCTTCAGAGATTTCAATCAAAGCTTTTGCAAAATTCACCTTTAACTGTTCTTTGTTGAGTCTGCATTTCTGAGTTCAAAGGGCAAAGTCACCATTACTATTAATAGAAAGAAATTTGTCAGATATTGATTCTAAAACATGCATTTGAGCAAGGATGTTCATGTTGAGATCACCCTTTGGCCTCTATCTAGATACTCTACCACTTGAGGAATGAGAAATTCCCACTGGTCATGGCTAAGAAGGTGACCTGTACTCTCAACTTCTAGTTGAAACAAACTGTTTTTGAATATCGCTTTGTCTGTGAGGAAAAGTGAACTCTGAATTGTATAAATTCTGACAACCTATATAAGAACCACTTACAGGAGTTGTACATGATTACAATCACTTGGTCCCTGGAAAAATCTTCAGAAAATCTCTTAACCTGGAAATACTGTCTCTAGAGGAAATTGTATTTTGTTTCCTAGCTGACACTATAGGATCTATGATCTAAATAAATGAGGCAATTTTATTACCATTCTGAAGCCTGTGGGGTTGGTAAATTTATTTATTAGGTAATCATTCGTGCAAAACAAGTAATTCATTTTAATCCTTGAGGCTACAGTTATGAAAAGGGGAAGAGAAACTTAATTTTTTCTGTGATAAAATAGCACTGTTAGCCCGAATGATCAGACAGAAAGGACAAGGGTAGATGGAGGAAATTCCAGAATTGTATACTAGGCCTAATAGATTGTGATTCATTACTGACTTTTTTACCAGGAATCCTTATAGTGGTAGTGTTTTATTACTGTGCTATTGTAACATTATTAATGAGAACTTAAGGTCATTAAATATTTTCTGTTAAATAATTCTTCTTAATGTTGATCAATAAATGTTGACATATCCAGAAGGGAGCATGTAAACTGTTGAATGAAACCTTGAGCGGTAATTACCCAGTGAACTGAACTAGTACAGTAACACTGAAAGTATCAATTAATTATACCGCTATTTTAAATTCAGTACTTCCAATAGGATGTAATTCTTCCTCACTAAATTCTATTTATGAACATATGAAGGGTGATAATGATTTGTAAGATATTATTGTGTAGTATACAAGTGCTATCCCCAACTGGTATTGATACCCAAGGTCATTCATTGACCTACAGGAATCGTAAGATTATTGTAGGAACATCAAATCTTCATAAACGTTATCCTTGGCTGACCATGGCTTGTTCGGCCCAACTCTGGTCATGTGACTTTTGTTTGATCCAGTAATAGTCAATAATAATGGTCATGTGACCAGTCTTTGATCAACAAGTGTAACATGTTTTTTTGTGATTGTCGATACAGATATGGGTTGTTGATGTGCAAAGTCAATAAACATTGTACAACTGAAAGGTCATTGATCCTTAATACCATAAACCTGTTTATAGTAGCTGTATAATTAAATCTGGTTTGTTAATTAATGTGTGATAATAAGTTTTAGAACTTTCAGTGACACATACTACCAGTTCAATAGAAATGTGTAAAGCAGAGTAAATGTCCCACAGTATCAACTAAATCATTATATAGGGTAGGTAGTTGTCCTCCTTATAAGCTTTAGTATCATATAGGGAAGGTAATTATACTAAATGTCCAACATTAGGTAGGTAGTTGTAGTAAACATCCCACAGTGTAAGCTATAGTATTATATAGGATAGGTAGTTGTAGTAAACACCCCACAGTGTAAGCTATAGTATTATATAGGGTAGGTAGTTGTAGTAAACACCCCACAGTGTAAGCTATAGTATTCTATAGGGTAGGTAGTTGTAGTAAACATCCCACAGTGTAAGCTATAGTATTATATAGGGTAGGTAGTTGTAGTAAACATCCCACAGTGTAAGCTATAGTATTCTATAGGGTAGGTAGTTGTAGTAAACATCCCACAGTGTAAGCTATAGTATTATATAGGGTAGGTAGTTGTAGTAAACATCCCACAGTGTAAGCTATAGTATTATATAGGGTAGGTAGTTGAAGTAAACATCCCACATTATCAGCTATCAGACCTTAATACTGACTTACTACCTAGCCCTGAGGTTTTTGTGAATACTGTTCAGCTGAAATCTCTCCTATACTGACTAGTTTTAAAAAGTTCTTACAAAACATCAAAATAATTTTAAAGCTTTATTTTTTTGTGAATTAGAAAAAAAATGTTTTCTTAGGGACAGGAGCCAACGGAGATACATGCATGTCTGTTGTAGTAGATAAACTATGCCTTTGGGAGTCCATTATCTTTACTGCATTATCATACATTTATCAATAATGGAGGATCAGTGGTGTTGCTCAGAGGAATTTTAATATTGTATGAAAACTACTTTACTATATGGTCAAGTGTTTGACATGTATTTGCTAATGTTATGTGCCATAAACATGCACATTAAAGGGTGACTGAAAGGTAATAAATGGACCGATAACTTGTCACCTGACTAATGAAAATGGACCAATCATTTACGATTGGACCTATCTAACAAAGAACATCAGGCCAGTTTGGACAAATGTTACAAAGGTGTCAATGTATGTTCCTCTCTGTTCCATGTTCACAACATAAATATTTTATCAATTACGGCCATTAAGAATGAAAAACATTGCTGGATCAAAGAAATATTTGTAGGCATTGAATGTCCACTACATGTTGATGGTCTGATGACAACAGGGTCATTTAGGTATTTGTGTTTTATGTATTGGCAAAAACAAAATATTGATCAGAAAAAGACATTTATGATAGAATCTAGCTGATATTGTAAGGGTAAATTTATTCAAGGCATACTTATGTTAAGTTTCTGTATTTCATTGTTTTGTCAAAAAGGTACATTTTATATTTGATTTTTTTCACTATATATGTAAAAACATTGGTAATTAATTTGTAAATTAAGTTTTAATATCACACATAAAACTGAATATGTTACGAAGGTAAAAAAAACACAATGCAGGTTTATGTTAATTAAGCTCAAAAAGTTTTTCTCGATTTAAAAAAGCAGAAAATTCTTGAAAATCAGTCCGTGGTTAGAATTTATTTTTGTTATGTAAAGAGACTGTATAGAACAGGAAGTTTCCAGAATATTTTATTGGTCTTAAATCATGAGTCAGTTATTTATTACAGGAGATATTAAAAGTGGAGTTATATATCACACTTATTAGAGAATGTATTCATACCACTCTAAAGCAAATGGCTTTTGTTAATGTTTCTCTTGATATAGATTATGGTGTAGAATTAGACCCAAAAATTATTTCTTCCTTCATCTGGTAGAAGCAGATTTATATAAGTCCAGCCATGGGATGAAAGCAGTGTTAATTTGAGCCATATTCTCATCAATGTTTATAATCAGAAAGATAACTGCAACTTAGCACGTAGGCACTGCAGTTTGCAGGAGACTTGAAAGGGTTGTACAGGGTAAAAAAAAATTGATTAGCCTGTATCATAGAAATACAACCTGAGATTTACGTAATCAGAGTTTGGAGAGCTGATAAGACAGTATTGGTTCAGACAAATTGATCCATGGCACTGTTTACAAATCCCAATATAAAAGCATATTGATATTTCATGAAAAATGTAATTGCTAAAATAAAGACTTGGAAGGAGTAGTTTTATTAAATTGGTGATACTTAAATCAACATTATTTTTATATCCAGTCAAATATGGGCACAGGAGACATATATCACAAGTCCTAGAAAGTCCGCTGGAGTTAGCTTTCAATAGACAAATGAAAGACAGGCATTTTACTTAACAGGAGTAATTGTCATGTTGTCTAGTTAATTTCTTATCAAATGTACCCACCATGTTGTCATTGTCATAATTCAGTCGTTTTTTTTTCGATACTTTTCTATTTACTGCATCTTCATTATGGTTTAGAATAATAAACTTTTTCATTTTAAATTTTTTTTCAATTTTGAAATTGGTCTCAGTATGTCTGATATACATTAAAAGATTTTTTCATCAAAAGAAATGTGGAAAAATAGTACTGCAAGGAATACCATAGTAATTCTATTTCATATCATCTATTTCAGTCCCATTGCAATTTTAAGGTCACCACTCTCTAATCTTCATTATTAATTTTGTTGAAATTGGTTCCTTGTCAAGGTCAAAGCCATGGTCACGGTAACCATGGAAATTTGCTAACTAATTCTGGACATAATCGCAATGAATTAAGATAATTGATTTTTTGGAACAAAATGCCTATAGGAGATGGTGATTTAATTATATCAAATGTCTTTTCACTCGAAATACATGCAAAATAAGTAATGTTTAAAAAGTACTGTCAGAATTAGCAAATAAAAAGCCATTACAGATTATTTGAAAAGTTGTTTTATGAGTCAGGATATCAGAGAATTGTGTTACACTTTCGTTGTGGTTTTGTGTATCTTCCTTAGACAAGTTTATCTTTCCGTGTGATTAATTTGCCTATTTCTCACTGGAAAGAGTTTAACATGTGCCTCGGAACCGTAAAAAGATTGGCTAGAACAGAATCAAAATGAAATACAAATTGACATCAGATGCTTATTCATTTAAAATTGACTGCTGTTTTGTGGTGCTGGCTGACTTAGCACACTGGGGTTTCTCATTCTTTCTTATTGATTGTTGGAATAAAGAAGTTGACGCTGGATAAAGAGAAGTGCTGACATATATAACACTAGATTAAAGACTGATAGAGAGGAAAGATTTCTAGTCTAGAAGTTTATTGACACTCGTACAAATTTAAAAGTAAATTTGGAGTCTAGAAATAAGAAGATTTATGTTCGCAGTTATATTTGATAATCGATGAGGCTTGAGAACATAGAAACAGTTACACTGTGTTATACAAACAGATATAGAAGGCTGTTACACTGTGTTATACAAACAGATATAGAAGGCTGTTACACTGTGTTATACAAACAGATATAGAAGGCTGTTACACTGTGTTATACAAACAGATATAGAAGGCTGTTACACTGTGTTATACAAACAGATATAGAAGGCTGTTACACTGTGTTATACAAACAGATATAGAAGGCTGTTACACTGTGTTATACAAACAGATATAGAAGGCTGTTACACTGTGTTATACAAACAGATATAGAAGGCTGTTACACTGTGTTATACTACAGATATAGAAGGCTGTGAGACTGTGTTATACAAACAGATATAGAAGGCTGTTACACTGTGTTATACAAACAGATATAGAAGGCTGTTACACTGTGTTATACAAACAGATATAGAAGGCTGTTACACTGTGTTATACAAACAGATATAGAAGGCTGTTACACTGTGTTATACAAACAGATATAGAAGGCTGTTACACTGTGTTATACAAACAGATATAGAAGGCTGTTACACTGTGTTATACAAACAGATATAGAAGGCTGTTACACTGTGTTATACAAACAGATATAGAAGGCTGTTACACTGTGTTATACAAACAGATATAGAAGGCTGTGAGACTGTGTTATACAAACAGATATAGAAGGCTGTTACACTGTGTTATACAAACAGATATAGAAGGCTGTTACACTAGTTTATGTAATCCTGCAGTATTGTAATGGTGGTGAATTTATTGAACTGCACTGACATTTAGGATAATCTTAAGGTGTCAATAACAGTTTGTTTATTGGTTTACAATACAGTCTGTTAGGATGAAATATTAACACTAATCCAGTCTATGGGAGGTAAAATCAAGGTGTTCGGGGAAATGTTTTTCACTGAACGTAAGGGAATTTAAAGTATGATGAATATTTGTTTTGTATTATACCTCGTTTTACTAATCAGTAATGATATATGCAGTGTATTTAGGAAGGACATATTGAAGCTACCTTATCAGTTGAAATGTTTTATGTTACCGTGATACTCAGTTGTATAATGCTTGTGCATAACATATGTTTACACAAATTATTTCTGACCTTTATAGGAAGGTCAGACTGTTTGCAATCTTTATTCTGACCTCTGTAAGAAGGACATCCTACTGGCAGTCCTGATACTGACCTCTATAGGAAGAGCAGCCCACTGGCAGTCCTGATCCTGACCTCTATAGGAAGAGCAGCCGACTGATAATCCTGATACTGACCTCTATAGGAAGAGCAGCCGACTGATAATCCTGATCCTGACCTCTATAGGAAGAGCAGCCGACTGGCAGTCCTGATCCAGACCTCTATAGGAAGAGCAGCCGACTGATAATCCTGATCCTGACCTCTATAGGAAGAGCAGCCGACTGATAATCCTGATCCAGACCTCTATAGGAAGAGCAGCCGACTGTCAGTCCTGATCCAGACCTCTATAGGAAGAGCAGCCGACTGGTAATCCTGATACTGACCTCTATAGGAAGAGCAGCCGAATGGTAATCCTGATCCAGACCTCTATAGGAAGAGCAGCCGACTGGTAATCCTGATACTGACCTCTATAGGAAGAGCAGCCGACTGGCAGTCCTGATCCAGACCTCTATAGGAAGAGCAGCCGACTGGTAATCCTGATACTGACCTCTATAGGAAGAGCAGCCGACTGGCAGTCCTGATCCAGACCTCTATAGGAAGAGCAGCCGACTGATAATCCTGATACTGACCTCTATAGGAAGAGCAGCCGACTGATAATCCTGATCCAGACCTCTATAGGAAGAGCAGCCGACTGGTAATCCTGATACTGACCTCTATAGGAAGAGCAGCCGACTGATAGTCCTTTTCCTGACCTCTATATGAAGAGCAGCCGACTGGTAATCCTGATACTGACCTCTATAGGAAGAGCAGCCGACTGGTAATCCTGATACTGACCTCTATAGGAAGAGCAGCCGACTGGCAGTCCTGATCCAGACCTCTATAGGAAGAGCAGCCGACTGATAATCCTGATACTGACCTCTATAGGAAGAGCAGCCGACTGGTAATCCTGATACTGACCTCTATAGGAAGAGCAGCCGACTGATAATCCTGATCCAGACCTCTATAGGAAGAGCAGCCGACTGGTAATCCTGATACTGACCTCTATAGGAAGAGCAGCCGACTGTCAGTCCTGATCCTGACCTCTATAGGAAGAGCAGCCGACTGGTAATCCTGATACTGACCTCTATAGGAAGAGCAGCCGACTGGTAATCCTGATCCAGACCTCTATAGGAAGAGCAGCCGACTGGTAATCCTGATCCAGACCTCTATAGGAAGAGCAGCCGACTGGCAGTCCTGATCCAGACCTCTATAGGAAGAGCAGCCGACTGATAATCCTGATACTGACCTCTATAGGAAGAGCAGCCGACTGGTAATCCTGATACTGACCTCTATAGGAAGAGCAGCCGACTGATAATCCTGATACTGACCTCTATAGGAAGAGCAGCCGACTGGTAATCCTGATACTGACCTCTATAGGAAGAGCAGCCGACTGTCAGTCCTGATCCTGACCTCTATAGGAAGAGCAGCCCAATGGCAGTTCTGATCCTGACCTCTATAGGAAGAGCAGCCGACTGGTAATCCTGATCCTGACCTCTATAGGAAGAGCAGCCGACTGTCAGTCCTGATCCTGAACTCTTTAGGAAGAGCAGCCGACTGGTAGTCCTTTTCCTGACCTCTATAGAAAGAGCAACCGGCTGGTAATCCTGATCCTGACCTCTATAGGAAGAGCAGCCCACTGGCAGTCCTGATCCTGACCTCTATAGGAAGAGCAGCCGACTGATAATCCTGATCCTGACCTCTATAGGAAGAGCAGCCGGTTGATCCTGACCTTTATAAGAAGTGCCTGTATAAAGGCAGGCATAAGATTCTCTGCTGCATGCATTATTTAAACCATTTCTGATCAATACTACACAGCCCAGAATGTACACTTTATAGTGAAGATGAGATAACACCAGGCTATATCTATAGTTCCACAGGGATTATCAAAGTCCCCTGTAGACTTATGTAGGATCAGCTGATTAGTGATACAATGATGAGGATTTCGTGACAATGTGGACACAATCATGTGTCAGTATCCATGGCAATCTGTCGTCTCCCTTATACAGATTTTGGCGGGAGTTTTCACACCCTTTAATTAGAACCATTGTATCTATGTCATGGCGTAACGACATCATGCAACAATGCTATCCACGATAATTAGTGGCGGAAATGAAAATGCATGCAAGTGTTAACATAGAAACAATGGGATTGGACAACTGGTGCTGGCATTCCTTTGTTACGTTGTGCTATGTAGGCTAATTTGGTGGTGAAGATTTTGTCTCTCATCTATTGTCATTAGAGTCACAGATTCCTAGCACGATAACTATTGATCAGCTAGGCCTCTGTGAGGGTGGAGGCAATGAAACATTTCTGATACAGTGGTCAGTGTGATGTCCAGTCCTTATCTGACTTTATAATTAGTTCAGTTAGTGTATGTCTGGTGTTGTCATATTGTCAATAAATGTTTGATTGACATTATGTACATTGTATATTGTAGTTCACAAATAACAAAATAGTTTTAAAATGTAATTTTAAAATTGAGAAAAGGTACCAAATTTCTTTTTCTAATCATTTGTTGAGTAAGGCCATGATGATCACAAAACAGCAATTTTACTTATATTTGAAGTGACATGAAATCTGTATACAGTATGTGGGATATGGTTGGTTAATCAAATATGCTTAGTCGGAGTGAAATAATCCTTTTCTTTGTATCTCTCATACACAACATTTTAATAACAATAAGCATACCTTGCCAACTGTGTTCAAAATCCTCAAATTTTGCTTTTACTTAAATCACCTGTAGCATTGAACACCGTAGACTGGTTACTTGTTAAATCTTTTTGTTGTAAGGTGTTCTATAGAAGAAAGATTTACACATTTCTAAATTTACTACATGGTCCCTACCAATACAGTTGAGGCAATTAAGGGTTTCTTGCGTGATGTTTCCCAGAGTTTGGATAAGGACGTCCTAGAGATTCATCCCGTGGTTATATCTGTGTTCTGTTGAATTATTCAGTTATGTGATATTCTGAATTCCGAAAGCTGATTACATAGTTAAATGGAATTGATAATTAAACATGGTAACAACTACACGTCCCAGTCCTTTATTTGAGTAGTTTGTTGTAATCAATTCAACAGATGATAGAGTATTTGACAATTGTGTCTGACAGTCCCAACCTTAGACTATGTCTTTTTGTATGTTATACCACCCACATAATTACCAGCCAATAGTTGGACATGGAGCTAGTGTCCAGTCAGATCAACCATGTTAATATTTAGTTTTCTATAAGAAGAACATTTGAAGCTGTTTGCGTTCCTACTTTTTGATATGTCTATTTACCCAGTGATTTGTTTAAAGGATTATGGATAAATGATGGTGGTATATGATTTAGTCTTACAGTCTCTTAAATAACTTTCAATTCCAATTATTTTACTTCTTAAATAACGTTCTCAACAAAAACATTGATTTTTGTTCTAATTGTTAAAGCTGCATATGTAAATCATAGGTAAACTTCTGTAAATGTCTTGCTTACTAGAGGGTCAACAGTAGTGGACCAGGCTGACCAGCTCTCTTATCCTAAAGATTTTATTGTCTTTTTTTTGTCTTTAAGTCTTCATTTGTAGTACAATATAATACAATGTATAACCTTGTTTTTATTTTGTTTCATAGGTTACTTTCCCGTCCCCAATACTTGGCAGCAAGTGGACACCAGATCTGCTCAACTTTGACCTCCAAGGGGGCAATGTGAGTGGGGCAGGATTTGACGACAGCTTTGGCCTCCCATTACGGCAGGCAGACGTTGCTGAGTCACCACTTTTAGATGATAGCAGCTTTGGCCTTGATCATAGTAGCTTTGTCCTTGACCAGAGCTCAGAGAACCAGAGTGGGAAGGACAGCGCAGTGGTGAGTGAGGTGGAAGGTAAGATGTCCTCAGAGTACAGCGACTCTGATCTGGATATGTTAAAACATCACCGCCTCAAGTCCGACTCACGGGACATAGGCTACAGCAGTGGAACCACAGAATCACTTGGTCATATCAGCACTGAAAGTGACTGTGAGGACATCAAGAAGCTTATCGCTGGAGCAGAGCGCCTTGTCACACCCGAACGAACAGGTGTTGGAAATAAACAGCGCAAAGAGGATAATTCCTGTGATGCAAGTAGTGAGGAAAGTGATGGCGGATCGGATGTGTACTCCACTGCCAGTGATGATGGTGGTAGCCATGAAGCCATGTTTGACAGTGTTCTTGGACTGGATTACAATTCTGATGCTTCACTACCTCGCAATCTTCCAGCATTCCATAACACAGTGAAACTTCGCCAGCGGAAATGTAGGAAGGACAGGCCCTGGAGTGCTATACAACTAACCGACATCGGTGATGAATTTGATATATCATCTTTGTCTCGGTCAGAAACTGCCATTGATCGCCTTAGTTATGGAAGTGAACACCTGTCAGCCAGCAGTAAGTTGGGTGGCTCTGCTGCCACCTTCCCCCGTGCTGGAGCAAAGCGCAAGTTGTACGAATCAAGTCAGACAAGTCCTCATGATGGAAGTGTTTTTGACTCTAGTGAGTCAGAGGAGACAGAAAGCTCAGGTCAGTTTATAAGTTCTACTCAGTATTTACTCAAAACACAAACAGGAAAAATGATAAAGTACAGGTGATTATAATAATTTTGATTCAGAAGAACGTAATCTTTAATTATGTTTCTGAATATTTATATATATAACCCAATGATTGATCAGAATGTAGTCTTCAATGATATGATACAGTGGTCAGTGAGATTGTTGACCTAAAACAGTTGCTTTTGTATTACAGCCTGCTCTGACGATTATGAAACGGCTCACAGTGACATCCTGGTGTCGGATGAGGATGATGGTCTCAACAGTACAGCCTCTGTCTCAGAGCCAGCCTGGGATAACTACCACCAGGTATAATTTGTCTCACATGGTCTGACCTTGTCATGCTTCAATTCATATCGTCTGACCTTGTCATGCTTCAATTCACATGGTCCAACTTTGTCAAGCTTCAACTTATAATGTTTGACTTTTAAAGCTTAAACTCAGGGTCTAATCAAGTCAGATTTAAATTTACAGGGTCATGAACTTTACAGGCTCGTGAACTTTTAAATTTGAATTTTAATTAAAAGACCATATTGATACCAAAGTTACAATAAGATTCGCATGATGTACTGTTAAAGCTGCTTTGTAAAAATCATAATTTCATATGTTGTTTTCATTCTGTATACCTCTTGAAATAAAAACAATATTTGAAATCAGGAGAAATGAAACAAAGATTGATTTTGCTAAGAATTAAAAATTTCTGACGAAACCAGCTGTCCAATGACTTAAATTATACCAAGGTCTTCAGGTGTATTCAACAGTGTGTCTGTCTCTATGATGCATATTTGAGATATTGATCAAGCAATTCTCTATTGATACATATTGTATTGGATATCCGTTGCACACAGCTGCACAATGTAAGCTTCAAGTCACAGCTTTCTCTTCATTTCACTGATCGATCTCATAACATTGTTTGACTTTTGAAAAAAAAAGGGGAAAAAAGTATATATATTAATCAAAAGCTGTTTGAAATGCTTGGTAAATTTGAGTGAGAAATTTACTAATGCAGAAGTTTATGCAGCCATTTGATTGTGAAGTCTGATGGTGATGACATTAGTAGTATGGAGTGTGTGGGATTTTCTATGGAGTGGGATAACAATCTTCAGACACTATTGTTTGAAGTCCAAAATGACTATTATGATATTGCAAGTCATTAGTTCAACAAGTATTTTTTACATTACCTGAAAATTTTTTATATGTAATATATTATTTAACAATTTTAGATGTCTCTGAATGTATGATACAGATTTGACATATTGATATATCATTATATATACTCTCTATCTTATGACCTCAACACACACTGACCTTGGTGTGACCTTTAATTTCAGGTATATATGTCCATGGGGGAAGATCAAGAGGAACAACCTTTAACATGGAACCAGCTTGAAGAAGATCTTGAGTTTGATGAAATCTACCCCTCCCCTAAAAACCTGTCTCTGGTCTCTGCTGAAATGGAACGAAGGAAAAAGGAAGGAAAGAGTAAACCTCGTCTGCTGACACAGAGCAGTCGTCATGGATATGACAGTGACTCAGATTTAGAGGATTTACACTATTTCCTGGAAGACTCGGCCAGTCAACTGAAAATAACTGACCACTGCCTTAAGAAACGTAGGAAGGACCAGTTCAGAACAGGCATTGCAATGAATTCCCACAAATATGTAAGTTTCATGGATAGTGCCAGTGGTTTATAAACAGATATCAACCTTGTCTACACATGGACTTACATGCAGTACAAACACAGATACAAATCTAAGAGAGCCTCTATTTCCTACTGACAAATCAGCAACAGAAGGTATATTGAGAAAATAGATATCATATGACTGTCTAAACACACTCAGCAGAAATTTTCACTGTATTATTGCTACAGAAAGGTAAGGTTTTGGTGGTCTTCAGACCATGTCCATAGGTCATATTTAATTGATTTTTAGAGGAATAGGGGAAGGGATTTTTAGATGTTTAACCTAAATAAAAACTACATGTTACAAGTTTTCGGAAATTTTGTTTCCTTTATCAATCAAAGAGATAGTTCATTATTCGGGAAAGGGAAGTATGTTTAGTCAGCTGTCAAATTGTCACAATGCATTTTTATCCCAATAAGCACTCTTACAGTACGGGATATTTCATCATTCTACCTTGTTCTTGGATGTTAAGATCTCATTCCAAACAGTGGGAATTTATTGTATCTCTGTGAACAGTTTTTTTTTTCTGTTGTTTATTTAGGCTGAAATCATTGCTACATGTCAGACAAATATAAATTGTCTGCAGAGTGTTTACAACCACCTGCCTGCTGAAGCCACAGAGTCACAATTAGAAAACTTAAAAGGTGAGCAGCTTATAAATAGAAATGTTTCAAATTATCTTAATTAGAATATTCTCAGTTTCTGTAAACTGTTGTTTTAAAAAGTGGGCAAACTTCACTGAAAATAATGGAATTCTAGAAATTGGATTGTCAAATTCTTAATTACCTGGGTAGTTAAAGATTAGGTGGATATTTGTAATCTGTGCTGTCTGTTGATGCTAAATAATCAATCATTTCTGTGTCATAGACATGCTGTACCAGTGGGAAAAGCTGCATGCCTTCGCTTGTGAGCGTCAGCAGCAGTCACAGGCATTGTCTAACATGTGTAAGAGTATGAGTGAAGTACAGACTGGGTTACAGAGCTGCGAAGTAGAGGGCATGCCCCAGCGATTCTCCTCCATCACTCAGGTGGAACAATGTCTCAGGCAGGCACAGGTAAGTACTACATACACCTGATTGTTATGCTAATATGCTATAAATGCACATAAGCAGCCATTGAGGGCAATAATGTTAGAAATGATAATATAACTCCTTAAGAATTAAGGCCCATTTTTTAAACATAAAAAGAACAGTATCTTAAGAAATATTAGGTTTGCGCAAAGTGATTAGCTCTAATTCCATGATCAGCTTACCTCCTTTAAGATTCATATTGTTTTTCTTCAAACAAGTGATAAAATAACTTTTTATGTAAAGGTTAGTAATATGATCAGTTAGATACATCAATGCTTTACACTTTTCAGAAAAATCAAGATGTGCTTCAAAGTGTACAAACATGTATCAAAGATTTGTACAAAACAGGCCAGTGTTTCCGCCAGGAACACCCTTCTATCAATCTAGATGTGTTTGTACAACAGCTGCAGCAGGCTGATTTGGTGTCAAGTCTCAAACTGGAGAGGTATGTATCAGAATAGAAGCTCAGAATCCTGCATATTTGTATAAATCTAACTGGAGTGAGGGGGTGGGCATTGTGTTGGGAGGTCTAGTATTTTATCACATAGATATTTATCTGACTGGCGTGAGGGGAAGGGTATGGTGTTGAGAGGTCTAGTATTATATCACAGATATATTTATCTAACTGAAGTTGGGAGTTATTGTGTTGAGAGGTCTTGTATTAAGTCACAGTTATACGATTTATCTGACAGGAGTAGGGAGAGAATATGGTGGGACATCTATTCTTAAATCACAGATTTGTATGTCTTACTAAAGGGAGGGGGAGAATATGGTGTTAGTAGATTTATTCTGGAATCTTTTTATTGATAATGAACTAAGATTTAGTCATGCCAAATTAATTCTATTTAAAGTATTAAGTTTCAAAAACCTTGATTTGAAAACCATTTACATACCAAAATTCTGTATTGTGTCATAAATTGTCTCCCTTCATAATGCTTTACCAGAGTGAACCAGGATCTGCCAAACATCCAGCATGCCCACAATCTCTGGAGCGAGTATATCTTGTTGCGTGGCCAGCTGAATGGTTTGCTGTCTGATGGATTTACAGAGGAGAATCTGGACCTTGAGGTTTGTTATATTAATAATATAGGCATCATTTCTTTGTGTTAGTAAATGAGTTAATTAGTTTTATGTTAATCTCTTAACAACATAACAGCATGTATGAATTTTAGCTCACCTGCCCTTAAGAGTCATCCACCTTAGGGCATGAAATTTTAACATTTCACAACTTCTTCTCAATAACCAAAATGCTCAGGATATTTGGCCAGTATATGAATAATTTTGACCCATCCTCAAGGTCACAAAGCAAAATTATTCAAAATCTGTAAACAACTTTAATCAGTAGTTTGCATGGGTGGAGGGATTTCAAGTTTACTGAAATGGACCCTTCTGATAAAATCTTTCAATAAGTTGCAGATTAGGTGAGTGATACAGGCCAATAAACCTCTTGTTTATTTCACATATATCTTGGTATCCTGAAGATCTTGTATGAAAAAGAATATGTGAATGCCAACTGATGTTATATTAGTTCTTGTTAGAATTTGTAAATAGCTTTAAGTACTTATACTGATAACTTGACTTTGTGACAGGATCCCAATGGACCTTTGTATAAGGTGGACCAGATGATATCCAGACTGCAGTCCCTCCGTGGCCAGTTATCTCCCTTTGTTGATGAGTCGACCAAGGTGGATATGACCATGACAATGGCTGACATCCATGAGCAACTGTTAATGGCTCAGAAGCACTGTCGACAGCTGGAGCAGCTGGCAGTGTTCAGAAACTCCCAGGAGACTATGGAGCAGTAAGTTAACTTGTTTACGGGAAAAAGAATGATTTAATCCTAAGTAAAGTATACTAGTTCTGGCCTCATATAATTTCATCTTTGTCATCTGTAGATATCATTATATAGTCAGAATCAATCATTTCTAATGCTTTTTTAAGGACTATTGGGATGCTGAAATGAAGCTTCATATTATTTATATATGGAAAAATCAAATAGAAGTTCTAAAACGTATCTTGTGCACATGAAGTATGTAATAGAAAGGAACTGGCTCTTCCTCTAATGCTTGTTTTTTTTTTTTTTTTAACAGAACTGATAATAAAACAACCATGGCTGCAAATCCAACAACATTTCCTTCATCATCGTCATCATCATCATCCTTGTTGTCTTGTTCATCTGCCTCTTGGCTGAAGTCACGCTATGTGCGAGCAGCTGCTGTGTTCATGATGATGGGAGTGGCCTATATGGTCGACCCTGATCTCGTCAAACGTATTGGAGACTTTAGTGTCAATGTCACCCCGGAGCTTCGATATGTCAATGGCCCTCCACCTGTATAACTATTGTTGTATTATAGTTCTTGTGTGTTAAGGAATGAAATACCACCATAGCAGAATTTTTTGTTTGTCATGAAAATGTCCAATAAGAGTAAGAATTATGGTTTATAAAAATATCAGTATAAAAACATTAGTTTGGTAGAAGCTATCAGTATTTACCATTATGTAGAAATTTCATGCATCACTTGTATATGGAATTGTTTGTATATACATATATTAAGGTTATATGAAGGATTAAAGTGGGTTGGATGGGGGTAGGTTGTGAATTTGGAGAGTACATTTTGTATTTCTGATAATGTACATGTGTTATGTAAATATTTTACACAAATGTACTATTTCAGTAATTACTGATAATTGCTTAAACATATCTACTGTAAATATTTAGTGGAATTGTTTCTAGGAAGCAGGTCAGTTATTAATGGAAATGATGATTGATTGATTGATTAATTAAATGATTGATCATTGATGTGTATGATATGAAAGAGATAGGTCAGATCATAAAATATTTAACATACAACAATAAATAGACAATAAATAAACTTTTAAAGTATATAAACTTGTACAGAGATGTACTTTGTTGTGGTGGTATTTCATATCTTTTAACACTGTATAGTATCTCATTGGTCAGTGTCTGCTGTAGGACGAACCCTGTCAGCAACAGTACCATTATATAAAGGCAGCTATATATATATACACTGATATTTTATCACATGGGCACGGTGAATAGGACTCATGATGAACCGTTACTTTGTGATTCTGTGTGACATCCTCGTACTAAAACCCATTGGACAAGACGACTTTCATCACATATGAGGCAATATGTCACATGATGATAAGTGTCACATGACAAGTGTTAAAGTCTGTAACCTTGTGAATTTTCCTCACATGTTTAAGTGCTTTTATCACAGTGAATAACATGATAGTGTGTCACACAGATGAAATATATGTTCAACGAGGAGGAACCATGTTATCACTCGTGAATCACACTGATAACAGATACCAAATATGGTAGTGTTATTGTGGATGTATAACAACCATAACTGATCAGATAACGGACACAGAAAAAGATGTTGTTGATATCAGTTATGGACTTAAAATTGTAAAATTATACTGATGAATCATACCAAATATGGTAGTGTTAATGTGGAGTTATTACCACCCGGACATTGGACTGATATAACAGATATCGAGAAAGGTGTTATGGAGTTGTAAAATTATACTGATAACTCATACCAAATATGGTAGTGTTATTGTGAAACTATAATGGTCAACAGACATAGAGAAAGGTGTTATAAAGCTGTGAAATATTACTGATAACAGATACCAAGATTGGTAGTGTAGTTTAATCAGTAAAAGTATTGTATTGCTTGTTGAGTTGTTAGAACTCCATGTAATGACAGTGCTATATATTACACATAGATGTAATAATTACCAGAAAAATAAGACCATGGACATGAGTGAAATGCCCGTACAGGGTTAATTAAGGATTCCTGTAGGAGAAATACCTTGGTTGACATGGATTTTACAGGAGCTGTATCCAAGAGGAATAACTCTTACAGATAAAGGATACCAAGAACATTCAAAGATAACTTGGCTTATCTGAGTACCTACTTGAGTACCTACCCGAGTACCTACCAGAGTACTTACTGCCAAAGTACCTACCCGAGTACCTACCTGAGTACCTACTGCCAGGGTACCTACCTGAATATCTGCCAGAGTACCTACCTGAGTACCTACTGCCAGGGTACCTACCTGAATATCTGCCAGGGTACCTACCTGAATATCTGCCAGAGTATCTACCTGGGTACCAACAATGTACTTGAGTGAGTACATTGTTGTTTCAGATGTATGATAATTGAAGGCCACCTTCAATGATGTTAAGTTATGGTAAGAAATATGATATGGTGGGAAGTGCCTGAATGATCTTCTGTAATTACCTATATAAACGAAAAAGGGCAACATAAAGAGATAAGTTAATTATCTGATTATTCATTTATGTATGTGTCCTCTTCATCTATATAAACAGTGATTACTGATTAAGATCAAGGTCAACAGAGGTCAGGTTCATGTTCTTTTTGTATATAATATTTGTGGTAGGAGTGAAGGAATATACATGTATATGCACAATACCTGGTAACGGTGCCTGCATTAGGATCATGTATGTATGTAGTCTATACGTATAACCATGCTACTGTCCAGGGCCTGTTTGTCCAGCTCAAATCACTATCAATATATGAAATCTGTAAATAAACAAAACTGTAAGGAAATTCCAAATTTGAGATGAATTTAAACTTGAAGTAGAAAAATATTTCATTATTTGGATATTGTTGGAAATTATCAAATTATTCACCATCATGTTTATAATTTTAATTGAAATGGTGATTAAAAAAACAAGTTGTGTGAGACAAAAATCGTGTTACCAATTTTTCGCTAAATTTGCCTGGTGTTTGATGTTCTATTGTGTGCTGTTTTGTGGTGGACATCAGTGGTAACAGAGCTAGGACAGGTGTGCCCTGATGTCAGTAAGACAGTAGTCAATCCTATGTCAGCATACACTAAGATCTCACCCTGTTATATATAGCTTGGTTTCATGTCCTTGGCCAAGTCCTCATTTTCTATTGGGTTATGTTGATTAATCAAATAAAGTAACTTTTATCAGTTAAAAAGTTAAAAAAGAAATTGTGAGTTTAAACTAGAATTTCCAACTTTACTAACATTATTAAAAGTGATATAATTCGGATTTACTGGCAATACAGAGGCTATAAATTGTTATCCAGACAAGAAGGTGAAAGCTATGATGGGTTGATTTCTTGTATGATGCTGTACATGTTGTGTGTATATTGCTGTGATTACTCTAACCAGTGACTTGTAGGGAGAAACGCACTCATTGTTGTCTCTCATTCTCTCATTCATATACATTCTTCAGGATTTATCCATTTCATATCTCAGGAATTTTACTGCAAGACATAAAATCTCAAATTCTTTTTTATACTGCTACAAGATCAATAATTGTAATGTAGGGAATGGAAAACTACAATACAGGTACGTGGAAAGAAATCATATTTTTATTTAATGGTCGATCATAATGTTGTTTGTGTAATTCCATCTATTGAACTTGGTGATCATGTAAGTTGATTGTTATTGTAAGAGTTTAATGAACTTCTTTATCTCAATCAAAATAACAGACAACATGTCATATTAAACCGTCCCAGAATGATGAAAATTTCCACCATACTACGTTAGCAAGGCAGCTTCTTTTTGTAAGAAATAAATGCGGTGCAAAAAAACACACCAGCATCAATACTTTGTTTATATTTCTAAGTAAAATCATTTCAATGTGAAGGTAGTGCTTTTGATTTGTCTCTTTTCAATTTTTTTTCCTGTTTTTTAACCTAACATTCCTGAAATTGAAATCCTGTAAGGGTTATGGTAAAATTCAGATATTAGTGCATAGATATTTTCAATACAAACTAGAACAGTTGTTATTGAATAGAAATGGTCCTGGACTTGATAATACCTTTAAAACAGCAGATACATGTATATCCTTCAGCACAACATTGTTTGATGTGCAATTTCTAGTTTCATTTTACATATATAATACAAGCTTATTGGCAGTATGTTGTCTGAGCTTTCATGTCCGATTTCTTTTGATGTATCAGAAAGCTTCATGGATTTATTTTTATATATTCCCATTATATAAGTTATGCCTATGGGAGACGGAAGACATGGCATTTTTATATCCTACCACTGATTCTACAATATTCTTGATTTTATGTCACAATTATGTAGGAAATAGAAAATTCAATTCAGAATATTGGTGTCGTAAATTTAAGAAAACTGATCTGGTCAATAAGTACAATGCTATATTGGTCGTGGATATTTTACTGTGATAATTAATAAGGAAACAAAGATTTCTGGTTGTTACCAGATTGTTAAAATTGATGTACAATTGACATAAGTATTGAATACGACAATACTTCATTAAATTAATTTATCTTGCATTAAGTTATACAAGAGGGGACACGTGCATGATATATTGTGTTGTGATTTTATTTAATTTAGATATTTATGCAAATTATTATTTTTATTTTTAAGATTGATTTTAACCAGTTTATAAGTTGTTGCCCTGTCTTATTTGGTGTTTACTGGTTGTTTACCTGTAGGTTGTACAGTCAATGGCTGTCACCAATGTGATCTGCCCAGTTAAAAATGATACAATTTATCCTACAGTATCATCAAACATTACAATTATCCATGCTATATTTAGAGAATTTGCCGACCAGATTAGGTCTGAGCTTTATATAATACCAGATGTTATTTGTTATTTTGAAATATTAAGACAATGTCAAATTACACATTACAATATAGGAATAATTTTCTCATTAACAATAACAATTAATGAACCAAAAGTGGTGTAATTGTACAATGCTGATGTTCATTGTTGGTTTGAATACTGAACTTGTGACTCATTTTTCTGATGATTTTTTTCAGATTTCTTCCATCGAAAAAAACATATTTGCCAAAAGTGCCATGTGTTTCTGAGACTGTGTCAGTTTGCTCCATTATAATATTGCATTTTACAATTGATTGTCTTAATCATGTTGTATTTTTGTGTCTGTAGGATTTTGTTGGGTCCTTAATTAAAGAGATGATATTATTGAACCTACATTAATACTACTATCCTGAAATGTTTGTAAACGTTGTTGTAGGGAATTGATTGGAACATATTACAAATGTACTTACAGATCAGATTAATACTCAGCAGGAAAATTGCAAATCAAACATGAAAAAGAAATCGTGTTTAGATACCAGTGAAATCCTACAGACTGAAAAATAATATCACAATTTTTATTCTCATTTATGATAATGATTTCACCTGCTACAGGATTGAAGACATTGAAGGTAAGTCTTTGTGTAAGTAACCCTGTGGGGATGAAACATTTACCTTTGTATTAAGTGCTACATAAGTTTATATGTGCGTGAGACTATATTTTTATCTATAGAATTTCATTCAGTGACCAATAAATTATGAATAATTTTGTTTTTAATCCCACAATGCAATTTGGCCAAGAAATATGTTCTGACCCAAAGGTCACCCTGAGAAGATATCTGGTGTACAGTAAGTGTTTTATTATAACAAGATAAGAGTAGATTTAGTGCTTATATTGTCAGTGAACTTGTTTCTTGGTCATTTTATTAAAAAATGTATTAGGGTTTAAAAAGTGAACATTTTGACTAAAGAAAACAAATAATAAGGTCATTGATTTAGGTATAAACTTTATTCAGCCATTGTGTTGGAGGAGATATTTCACCCTAATACATTTAAGGATGTATATATTATGTGGGTAAAATTACAAAAAAAAATTTATATATATATATATTTGAATATTTATTGTGGAAAATGGTAACAAAATCAGCTTTCACTATTTATTATTATCGGTATTGAAGGATTCGATATGAGAAATTAGATAAGATACAATTTTTGGAAACTATTAATGTACTAGATATTATAGCTGCATAATGGTATACAGCCAGTGTACTTTGAATTGAGATGGATATTGATAAGAAGTTGAAGAAAAAACAACAAATTTGATTGAAAGAAAATTGGTCAGAAAATAAACAAGACGCTCTTCATTTAATTGTTTTGTTTTTTCTTATCTCTTGTGTTGCTATGAAAAATTAAGTTATGGATGGATACCAATGGCCTCGTGGACAACACTGTACATAGTGGCTGACTTCGATCTCTACCTGTAACATAACGAACAGAATTATATTACCACTATACTAACTGATGGTCTTTATTTACTTATTTTGAATTTTCCATATTCGCATTCCCTCTCTGTCAACCTTTAAAGTGTAATAGATATTTACTGTTGACAAAATATCCTAGACCATAGGTTTTATCATTATCCCATTAGATTACTCTATTTGTTTGAGCATAGGTAGATTCCTTTGTCACAATGCCTATATTTCTCAGTCTGAAAGTCATTTGACTTAACAATTATTGCTGTAGTAAACACCACGTGATTGGGTTAGGTGCTTTAATATTGGTATTGCATGTCGTTAAATGTTATAACTGCGTCAAGGTTATATGAAAAACTCGCAGTGAATAATGTACATACAAATACAGATTTAGCAGTAGATCAAGTTGGTCAAATAATAAAGACCTCGTAGATGTATGGATAAAAACGTGAAAAATAGACAAGGAGGTGCACAAACTTTGAAATTGTATTAGTATATTTTTAGATATTGAATGATTTTAAAAATGTGAAGTTTTTGCGTGTTTTCTAAGCCATGCAACTGTTCTTTGAAATAAATTCTATTTTGTCGACCTAAGATTCGTTCATAGTGCTAGAGGCTCGCTTTAAAGTGTGGAAATCCAGAAGGAAATATATGGCTTTAAATAATCAATATTTTAAAATAATTATGTACAGTATTTCTTGATAACGATGTCAAAAACATATTGTAGGATTAACATAATTTTGCGATTTACAGCCGAGCATCTAATTACATTGTACAAGTCTAAAAATACTCCCGTTTTTTACCCTCAAACTTTCCAGTTTTTTACAAAAGAATCTTTACCTTCAGATTTTCCAATTTTTCCTAGACGACATACCCAGTACTAGCAAAGCGGTGTTTCAGTTACTAAAATCGACCCGCTTTGTTTATATAGTGTCCCTTAACTTGTATAAATCCTTTACATTATTTAAAGTTACAGATTATTGATGATTCAAGTCTGAATAAGGCGTAATGTCATTCTTGATGCAGAATTACGCAGAAACGTAATTAACAGAATATGGATTTTCAAGTAAATACACCAAAGACACAAGTGAATAAAAACCTTACAATATAGATTCAGAATTAGATACAGGAGTGCCTAATAATTAATTAAACTGCGTCATACAATTATTTCGTCCTTCTCTGACTCGTCAGCTTCTCAAGGACGTTTATAATTAGAATATATAACGTCCCACTCAATTCTCTACAATAGCTCATATCATATTAAACTTAGCGTACATCTACATAAAATGTACTTCTTGTAAATACGACGAATAGTTCAACAAAATATGCTTAGGATGATACTACAAGGAGGATAAACAAAATGTATACCTCTTATATTATGCTAGGTAGAGAGATCTGACAACAGACAAATGGGAACAAACTGCATCCTTCTCGTGGTAGACTTTATTTTGTTCCTCATGCTGTTGAAGATTGGAAGAGCGTATCGGAAGAAAATGAATGCTATGTCCTTCAATTTCACATTATTTCGATATTTGGTTTTCAAATGACAAAAAAAAAAAAAAAAAAAACTTTTAGTTTTAGTTTTGTCATCCTGACTTCAATCACTGTAAATTGTTAATTCTCTTGTTATTTAAAGACAAGACCTCAATATACTTGAACGTGGAATTTAACGACTTTGCAAGGTCTTTGCGACCTGTTTTGATAAGCTCTTCAATAAATTCAGCTTCGTATGAAAACAAAAACAAGTCAGCCAACAGAGGGGCACCGTAAGATCCCAAAGATATGTCAATAGTCTGTTGGAAGGTCTTACAACCAAATTCGACGAACATGTTATCAACCATAAACTCGATCATTTTTATGATTTCGTCCTCCGTATATTTCTGCTTTGATTGGACAAATTTAGCTTTGAAGAAAAGTCAGATAAGAAGGGACACTTTGTTTCCATAAGTGTGTAATTAATTTATTAGAAAATCTTGCCACCAAACGCAACGAAGACAACGTCAACCATCATTCTAGAGTTTTACTTTTCTTTCGATCACTTCGGATTTTTCTCATTCGCCTCCTAGGCCTCAAAATGAAGGCCCTTAGCATCACTGACGAGTCCTAGAAGGACGAAACAGCTGTATGGTGTAGCATCACTGTAGAGTCCTAAAAGGACGAAACAGCTGTATGATGTAGCATCACTGACGAGTCCTAGAAGGACGAAACAGCTGTATGGTGTAGCATCACTGCAGAGTCCTAAAAGGACGAAACAGCTGTATGATGTAGCATCACTGCAGAGTCCTAGAAGGACGAAACAGCTGTATGGTGTAGCATCAATGCAGAGTCCTAAAAGGACGAAACAGCTGTATGATGTAGCATCACTGCAGAGTCCTAGAAGGACGAAACAGCTGTATGGTGTAGCATCAATGCAGAGTCCTAAAAGGACGAAACAGCTGTATGATGTAGCATCACTGCAGAGTCCTAGAAGGACGAAACAGCTGTATGATGTAGCATCGCTGACGAGTCCTAGAAGGATGAAACAGCTGTATGAAGCAGTTTAATGTGTGTCTCTACTGTACATAACTCTAAATTTGTATTTGAATGTGCTATTAACTTGTGTCTTTTGTGCATTTCCGAAATGTACTCTGTATAGCTCACATCCATATACCTTCTGGTATCGCCGTTCATCTATCTTTTCAGAAAAGTTATCACAACAACAGAAGTGAGGCGTTCTTTGAAATTAGGACTGGTATTCTACAAAGTGGGAAAAGTCAAATGCTTAAAGAAGATATTTATCAAATATTCTTTATAATCAACATATTGCATAAACGTATTCTGCAGCACTTCACCACATGTTCCCAGTAAACTGTATTTTTTGTAACTTATCTACTACCTTTGATCTGTAAATAGACAGCGCTAACAAGACTGGTGACTCTACAACGACTTGTATGTTATAACGGAGGAGTTGTATGCGATACTAATACACAGTATCAATCTAGACAATATGGAGCAACAGTTTTGTGTACCCAGTTTTAAGTGTTTTTTCCCGTTAGTTACAACATAAAATATTGACGAATCCGTTGTTGATAGAAATGACATAGAAAGGAAAAAATAGAAACAGTTTTTTAAAAATAGTGAAAGCACTAATCGAATTCTGTTGCAATGGTGCTATATATAGATCGATAGATAGATAGACAGATAGGCACATCCGGGTACTTTTAAAAAATATATTGGCACACCGTCCTTGTACGGCAAACGTAAGTAGTTTTAGAACTTTCGTAGAGATTTGTTAAAACCAAGATCTACTGTGATAAGAGTAAAATTGTGTTTTAATCTTTTAATGAAGATACATTTACTTAAATAACGAAGCCGTGTAGTGGCAATATGTGGTCAGACTTAAATTTCGGGTATTCCTTCCCGGTTCACTCGACTAAATAACTCGATCAGGTCTGACCTGGGTTGTGTGGACTGTAGAAAAAAGGGATATTAACTACTTTTAAACTTTTACTTTCTAACATCGTTAATATGTTTGGTAATTTACATTAAATCATATTTATTATTGTATACATATCGAGGTAAAACTGCCACAGAAATGTGTGTATGTATCGCCTGGATATACCTCTGTCCTGGGCACCGTGTATCGTTAGGGTTGTCATATTCCGAAATGACATGAAATACTTTAATGGGTATCTTTTTGTATATCTGCTCATTAACATGAATCATATAAATACGTATTATACAGATAGAGATCATATACATTCTTAAAACTGCATAAAGGTGGTTAACTATTATATCAAAAATATCGTGAATCATGGATATTATCTTACACTCATGTACCATCTAACACACATGTACTACCTCACATTTATACCATACACATCGGTACTACCTTATACACATGTACTACCTTACACGCATGTTTTACCATACACATCGGTACTACCTTACACAAATGTTCTACCATACACATCGGTACTACCTTACACACACGTACTACCTTACACGCATGTTCTACCATACACATTGGTACTACCTTACACACATGTACCACCTTACACGCATGTTTTACCATACACATCGGTACTACCTTACACAAATGTTCTACCATACACATCAGTACTACCTTACATGTTATACCATACACATGTACTACCTTACACACATGTTCTACCATACACATCGGTACTACCTTACACACATGTACTACCTTATACACATGTACTACCTTACACACATGTAATACCTTACACACATGTTATACCTTACACACATGTACTACCTTACACACATGTTATACCTTACACACATGTACTACCTTACACACATGTTATACCTTACACACATTTACCATCTTACACACATGTACTACCTTACACAATGGTACCACCTCACACATCGGTACTACCGTGCACATGCGTTCAACTTTACACATATGTACTGACTTACACATATGTACTACCATACCCATCGGTACTACCTTACACACATGTACTACCTTACACACATGTTCTAGCATACCCATCGGTACTACCTTACACACATGTACCACCTTACACGCATGTTCTACCATACACAACCTTACACACATGTTCTACCATACACATCGGTACTACCTTACACACATGTACTACCTTACACACATGTACTACCTTACACACATGTACTACCTTACACACATGTTATACCTTACACACATGTACTACCTTATACACATGGTATACCTTACACACATGTACTACCTTATACACATGTACTACCTTACACACATGTACTATCTTACACACATGTTATACCTTACACACATGTACTACCTTACACACATGTTCTAGCATACACATCGGTACTACCTTACACACATGTACTACCTTACACACGTTCTCCCATACAAATCGGTACTACCTTACACACAT